CCTCCCGTGTAGTGTTTGGTCTTTACCCCACACTGCCACCTACTGGTGAAACTAAGGAGCGGTATTTGAAGTTGCTTTGAGAGCTGTTAGGACGCTGAGACAGGTCTAAACCTTCAGGATACCAAGAGTTGAGGCAAACCCAAAAGAGATGACAGCTAGTTACCTTTTTTTTTTTTTTTGTGCCAGGGATTGAAGTCAGGGGCACTCAACTACTGGGCCACATCTCCAGCCCCATTTTGTATTTTTAAAAATTTAGAGACAAGGTCTCACTGAGTTGCATAGTGTCTTGCTGTTGCTGAGGCTTTGAACTCCTGATCCTCCTGCCTCAGCCTCTGGAGCCACTGGGATTATAGGCGTGCACCCCCGCGTCTGGCAGCTAGTTACTTCTAATGTCTGTGGAGAGTGGTGACTTGAGCCATGGCTTCTGATTCCCTCCTGGCTGCATCTGCCTGGGAACTGCCTGAACTCAGGTGAAGGTCAGGATGGCCCAGTTGCTATGGTAACACCGGTCCAGAGAAGGATGCACATGAAGGCGCGCAGCTGTATCACTGGGAACCTTGAGCTCAGGCACCAAGCCCTGTGGGTAGAGAATCCTGGGCATAACAAGAGGACCTTGATGTCTCACAAGCTTTGCCGCATCCTTCAAATTGCCTGCTTTCCTGAAACTTTCCCACGAATAACCTTCTGGTGACAAAACCTGTATAATAAACATGCTGAGCTAGCTCTGGGGTCAGTGATGTATCATCAAGGCTTGGCTGTCCCACCTGGCCCCAGCTTTTCCTCCATATGAGTCTGTTTGTCTTTTCTTCATCCCCTATCGCCCCTCCAGATTCAGAATTAATGGCGGGTGCTGATTGTGGCAAATGTCATCTTAAATCTGTTATTATATTCTTATTACACTTGAAAATTCCGGCCCAAAGATACTCAAGTTAATAAATTAAATTTAGTGACCAGTGCATGGAAATGGGAGTACTTTCCACATGAAACAGTCTTCACAGGTACCCACACATTCACGCACCCGACCTCCATCCATCAACGTATTTAAGATAAGCTGCCTCAGTGCTCAGCGATTTCCTGTCAGCTTGATTCATTTTACTCAATATTTATTTTCTCACATTTAAAATGGGGTGGATCTTGCCTCCAGATTCTCTTTCTTTTCACTGCCAGTTTATTGAAGTTTAGTTGAAGAAAATAAAACCTGTATATATTTAATGTGTACAATTTGATATTTTGAAATAACCCTGAAAATCAAGCTAATTAATGTATTCATCATCTCACATAATTTTTTTTGTGTGTGATGAAGACACTTAAGTTCTGCCTTCTTAGCGAATTTCAAGCACACAATGCACTGTGGTTAACTGCTGTATGTGATCACTTCAGAACTCCCACATCTCACACAGCTGAACCTTCATATCCTTGAGCACCAGCTCCCTCTCTCCCCTCCATCTGGCCACTGGCAGCAACCCTCTACTCTACTATTTATTTATTTTGGTACTGGGGATTGACCCCAGGGACACTCAGCTACTGAGCCACATCCCCAGCCCTTTCTATATCTTATTTAGAGACAGGATCTACTCAGTTGCTTTGGGGCTTGCTAAGTTGCTCATGAATGCGAGGCAAGCACCCTACCCCTGTGCTACATCCCCAGGCCCATCCAGTTTTAACCTAGAACAAATAAGGCCACAGTGAACATCCTCATGTGCTACACATTCAGGACAGACAGGACACTGTGGAGTTCCAGGGTTTGTAAGGTTCCTGTGTCTCCCGTCTCTCTGCCATAGCAGGCTTCCCTGCTGCTGCCGTGCTCCCGAGGACACACCTGTGGTGATCAAGGGGCCCCCAGATAAGGGGTCTTGGATCACTGTAGAGAATCAGATGTGACTGCATGCGTGCTTGCAGAGGAGATGCTTTGCAGTCCTTGGTGGAGCTTGCCTGCAAACAGGACTTTCTACCAAGTGGGATAGGAGGACTCCGAGAAAAGAACATTACTTGCAAACAAGAATGTTTATCTGTTCTTAAAAAGGAACAGAACTCAGAATGCTCCAGCCCAAGAGTAGATTAAGACATGATCAGCAAGTTACTTCTGATTAGTAAGTTACTTCTGCACACAATGTTTTGCAAGCTTATAGACCTGAGTCATTGCTGTTGGAATGCTGCCTTCTTTGTTGACAATACTATAAAAAGACTACTGTATTCAATAAATGAGCTTCTTCTCTTCTTCTTCCTTGCTCATGCTGTCCTGTGTTTGAGTTACTTGCAACAGATCACCGTCTGGAGAGATACAGGGGACAGTACATGTGGCCGTAGCTGTAGCTCACCAATTAGTCTACTGAGGGGCCATGACATTTCTTAGGCAGAAGACATGTGGGGCCACTGTTGGTGTCATCGGTGGGTGTTGGCATTGAGCCCTAGGAACACTGAGTGCTTCATGTACTTTGTGTGTATGTGGGGCACACCAAGAACCTCCTCATCCTCCTCTATTTCACACACACATAATCAACTTACTTTTAATTCACATGTCTTATGAGTCTCATTGATCCCATTTGTTTTAATTAGGAAAGAGAGGATTACTAAAGAATGATTGATATAAGGTTACTTTATAAAAAATATAATGATAGCAGCCAATATTTACTGAGCACTGTAAGTGCTTCACACACAGGTGCTATACCACCCATCCTTAGTGAAATTCCATTATTGTCCCAATTCCACTATATTTTTTAAAGGAAATAAGAAAATTTATTTTGGGCCAAGTATGAGTGACCATGGCCCAGACACAGATTCAAGTTACCTTGAATAACAGGTTCCACTGTAGAAAAAAATTAGATGAACTTTTATGGTCCCAGAACAAAATAAAGTAATAATCAATGCATTTACCAATTACATGGGTGGGAGCCTCACCTGGGTGGGCTACAGCAAGGTGGGACTCTCTTGTACAGGTTCTAGGTGTTATGGCATTCCAGCATTACCACTCACACCATTATCGTTCCCGTTCAACAGTTTTAGACTGAACATGGAGAGAAGTTAGGTAGATTGTAAGTTGGTTAATAAGAACCAAACTCCGGGACTCCTAACCATTATACCATCATATCCTTGAAAAATATAAAGCAAAACCTGTCAGAAATACATCTGCATTTTCTTTTAATACTTATTTTAGTCAGCTTTTCCACTGCTGTGACTGAAAGACCTGAACAGAACCATTGTAGAGTAGGAAAAGTTTATTTGGTGGCTCAGAGGTTTCAGAGGTCTTAGTCCATAGAAGGCCGGCTCCACTCCTCAGGCCTCCAGGTGAGGCAGAACATCATGGCAGGAAAGTGTGGCAGAGGGAAGCAGCTCACATGATGATCAGAAAGCAGAGAGAGATCTCCATTCACCAAATACAATATATATACTCCAAAGCCACACCCCCAATGCTCCACCTCCTTCAGCCACACCCTACTAGCCTTCAGTTACCACTCAGTTAATCCCAATCAGGGGACTAATTCGTTGATTGGGTTAAGGCTCTCACAACCCAATAATTTATCTTCTGAACCTTCTTGCATTGTCTCACACGTGAACTTTTGGAGGACAACTCACATCTAAACCATAATATTCTAAAGTTCTTTTTTAATCAATCTGGAATTTATTTATTTTTGAATGATGTGAAATAGGGAACTAATTTGATTTAATCCTTTAGCCAACTGATCCAATGGCTTCCTTGCTCCAGTGATTTTGATATTTCCTCTAAGATGTGCTGGATACCCACATATGCCCAGTCTGCTTCGGACCTCTGTCTATTCTTATGATAAGAACACACTTATGCCCCTAATCTCTTGCCATGGCTCATTATTCAAGTGTCCTCGGATTGCATATTTTCCCCATGCCTGTTTTAAACTATACTACACCTCCAACTCACAAGGGTCCTCATCCTCCCCACTGGACATTCCCTGAATTTTAATAGTCACTCTTAAGGACTCACCTTCAATCAACTTTTCTATGCCAGATTTCTTCATATTTACCTTCACTTCTTACCATTTTTTTTAAAAAAATGCTAATGTAGCATAAACTTCAATGTGTTGAATTCATTTTATTGGAATTGAGCAACCTCATTTCCTTCTCTATAACTCCCCTCCACTCCTCATTTTGGAGCACGTTTGTACAAAGCAACATCTCACTTTTGTAACCCTGGCACCCAGCATAAAGCAATGAACTGATGCTCTAGAGGTTATTTATTGAAAGAACACACCTATAAACTTCATATATAAAAAATATTAGGGAACTGGTTTTCCGAGGAGGAATGGAGTTAGACACCCTATTGAAACTTTTCCTTCATAGCTACAAAACAAACATATTACCTTTTGTTTATATATATATATATATATATATATATATATATATATATATATATATTTACATAACAAATATGTAATTTTTAAAAACAAGAGCCAGATCTCCCATGTATTGTCTTAGATCACATCTTTTACTAGTGAGAAAAGCAAGATGTAGAAGCAATTAAACATATACTCCTACTTTTAATACAAATTAGAAAATTTTTGTTAGAAACAAAAACTTAGGTACGGGTATGTTTTTGTGGGGCGCCTGATTTAGCCAAAGGAGCAAAGCATTAGGTTAGGAGATAGAAACTTAAGTACTAAACATTCCTGACTTGTCAGCGAGCCCCGCCCCTATCCCCGCCCACCAGCCAAGCCCCGCCCCCACGCCGCTCCTCAAGAGCAGACCCCGCCCTATCCCGGGCAGCCGGGCCTAAGCCCCGCCCAAGCTCCATCCCTCGGATGTAGGCCCGCCCCCAGCCCCACCCTCCCGGCCTTGTCGGACCCTACTCTAGAGTTCTAACGTAACTCTCGTGGAAGGGAGTTGGAATTTCTCCTCCTCTGAGGAGACTGAGGAAGGCGTCAGCCTTTCCGCGGCCTCCTAAAGCGCCTCCGATTTCGAGAGCCGAAGTCCTGAGCACTTCCGTTCCCGGCTGCCCCGAGACCGGAAGCGGAACTGCGCGGCGGCGGCGGGCGGCTGCGGCCGTGCGGGACTGCGCGGCGCGCGGCGGTGGGAGTGTCTCCGGCCGGTCTGCAGGTGCGGCCCGGCCCCTCGGGAGGGCGGGGCGGGAGGGGACTGTTTGGCTGACGTTGGGAGGGGCTGGAGGGCCAAGGACAGCCCCAGACCTGGCTGGAGGCGCTTTGCTCCGCGAGGGCCCGGGAGAGGCCCGCACTGCTCGGGCCTCGCCGCCCCTCGCCCCGTAGCTCGCCCTGGTCTGCTCACGGTCTGGGCAGACAGGGTTGTCATTCTGTCCAAAAGGAATCCCATAGTGCAGTCCAGGTCTGGCAGCTCAGGAATGTGGTGACATCGGCCCTCTCCCTCTCCTGCCCTCTCTGATTTATAGGAAAAGTGCATTAAGAAGACCCTTCTCTGCCTCCCTTATGCAAGATATTCAGGTTTTATCTTATAAGACATTTAATCTGTCTAGCTTTGCAACTACAATGTTAGGTCTGGTGTACGTGTGCAAATTGGTTTGAGCGACTTTATTTAAAAATTGAAGAGATGAACTAGATGACAAGGGATTTATTTTGGTGACTGTCAATTTGTGGTCCCTTAGCTTAATATGTGTTAGCTTCACATCTCTTGTTTCTTCTTTTCTGTTCTTTTCAAGTGGGCTACAGTCCTTACCCCAAACTTGTGAACTACAAATCTTCCAAACATATTGGACTCCGGAAACAAGATAAATTCTGTTAGTACCAGAAACTGAAACTGAGTTGGGATGTCTTTCTTGATAATGGAATTAAAACTAACTTCTACTGAGAAATGAGGAAAGATTAACTCTAGAGGAAAATTAAAGATCAGATTTCATTTTTATCAATGAAGTATTTGCCAAGGAAATAAATGCCTCTCCTTACCTTTTTAGAAAGAATCATTGTTTCTTAAAGATGCTTGAAATTTAGTGTTGTGATTTATTTTATATTTTAAACAGGCATTTAAAGTCATTCTCCTGTTTGGTTTTTAATATCTTGTTTTATGTGTTTGCGAACATGTGTGGGCATAAGGCTTGTCAGACTTACTGTACTGAATCATTCTTGAGTAGTGTTGATTTTGGAGCACATTTTCATTGGGGTTCCCTCAATGAATTGGCCCTGTAAAGAGGGAAACAATGTTGTGGTAATACATACAGCGCTTGTTCCCCTGAAGGTTTTATCCTAGACAGGGCAGTTCCCTGAAGGTAATAGTAAATTTTGCACTGTGTTATAAGTCATAGGGAAGCCCCTGAATTCAATTTTTCTTTATTATTATTATTTTTAACCAGGGATTGAACCCAGGGCCACTTAACCACTGAGCCACATCACCAGCCCTTTTTATATTTTATTTAGAGACAGGGTCTTGTTGAATTGCGAAGTGCCTCGCTAATCTCCTGAGGCTGGCTTTGAACTAGCAATCTTCCTGCCTTAGTCTTCTGAGCCACTGGGATTACAAGCCTGCTCCACCTTGCCTGGCTGAATCCAAGTTTTAAGGAGGGGAGTGACATAATTATGTTTGTGATTTAAACAAAACATTGGCTCCTGGATTGAGTATGGAGTTTGAGATGAACAAGAATGAATACAGTTTATCTAGGAGCCTCAGTAATTTCAGAAGTTACAGGATGATAGAAAGGAGTTGATGACTGTAAAATCAGAAAGGTTGAGATATGTGTAGAAAGTGGGATTGAGAGAATTTGATAGATGATGTTTTTTTTTTGTGTGTGTCACATGATCAGCAATCTATGGCCCATACATAGGTCAAATATGGTCCACTGCTGGCTTATACAAATAAAGTTTTATTGGAACCCATTTGTTGATGTGTTGTCCATGGCTCTTTTTGTGCTACAAGCATATAGTTAAGTAGATATGACAGAGATTACATAGCTCATAATTCCTAAGACAGTTGGTGCGTAGTCCTTTGCAAAAGTTTGCAAACCCATAAACAGTACTTGGTACACATCATGCTCTGTGCTGGTGGCTGGGTGTGGAGTTTTGAAAAGAGTGGGCACAGGTCTATCTAGGCTTATTAGGTTTATATCACAGTTGGAGAGAGACAGGCAAAATCACCTAAAGAAATAAATTTAAAACCACAACTTGAAAAGAGCAGTGAAGGAAAAGTAGAGGCTGTTAGAGGTAACTAGAAGGCATGTAAGAGGAAACATGATTCCTTCATGAGATGAGAGGGCCAGGAGGAATCACCAGGGACTGTTGTCTGGAAGGTGGTCTAGGGCCCTACTCTTGTTATCGCGATAAATTCCCTGTAATGATTCTCAGCTTGGCTGCCTTGCTGGAGGCAAGTGGGATCCCCTGGCTCAAGCCCTGCTTGGTGTTCTGCCTCTGCCACTCTCACACCCCACTTTTTTTCACCTTAGTATCTCTTTTATTGCAGGGAGGACGTCTACTGAGATTTTGAACCTCGCTGCTGATGTCATGGTGAGGAGATTGGGGGAATCTGGATGCTTGAGGTGGGGCTGATAACCATGTACTCTGGGCTCTATTTTCTCCCCATCCCAACTGAGGGAGAAAGGGGAGAGGGAGTGTGGAGCACCCTCATTCCTGCCCCAGAGGACCTGGGGACATTTTTTAATGCATGACTTCTAGAGGGAACTGTTATGGGAGGAGGGTCCCTCAACACACCCCAAGGCACTGTTTGCAGCATAGGGACTCCTCTAGGGCCATCTCTGTCATCCTTTGTGAGAATTACTGAGAATACATGTGGCTGTATAAGTTTAACTTGAAGTTAGTTAAGATTCAGTAAAAGTAAAGACCCAGTTTCTTAGTCACTGCAATGATATTCCTCAAGTGCGCTGCAGCTGCACACGCCATCTTGGACACTGCAGGCAGGCATCCCATGATCACAGAGGGCCCTGATGGACAGCACAGCTCTAGGGAATTTGGAGATCAAGGGGCCATGATGTTTCTCAGATGCAATAGAAGCCTATTTTAACAAGTATAAAGGACTATCAAATCTTACAGTATACCCTTGTATCTGTAGACCCCCTTCAGATTCAGGGGGTCTACAGGTCTGTATTTGTGGTTTCAGTTTCACTCATCAACAGGAGGAAGGGTGATTACAGTACATCAAGGTATTTGGGGAGGGGGTGGAAATAGTCACATTTACATAACTTTTGAGGTATAGTGTAATGCCATGCTTGTTCTGTTATTGTTATTGTTGATCTTTCACTGTCCCTAATTTATAAATTAAGCTGTATCAGGGGTATATATGCAAAAGAAAGAACATGTTTTATAGAGGTTTGGTGCTGTCTGTGGTGTTAGTTCTCCATTGGGGGTCTTGGGGTGAATCCCCTGTACATTAGAGGGGTACTATAAGTATTGGGGGGCATCCTAGGACTTCACCCAAATTAAGAGGTCAAACCCAAATTTGTGATTCCATAAATAAGAAGGTTCAGGAAAAGCCCACAAAGCTGAGATGAACAGGTCCTGCCATCGCCAGTCAGCTGGGTTACCGAGAGAGCAGATTTACACTTGAGGGTTTGTGTAAATGTGAAAGGAAAGTAACCATCTCACCTTGGTGGGCCCTCAGTTCTGCCCCAGCAGCATGGAAGCTGTTGTAGGTATGTCACAGAGGGTGTGTCTGTGTGCCCAAACAGTGTCCTCCTCTGCCACCCAGAGTGATGGGAGGCCATCTTTTCTGCTCCCAGGTGTAGAGAGAGCTCCCTGTTGCATGTCCTTGCATGGGGGTCTCACTTCCTCATCCTTCAGTGGTGGATGGTCTTTGCTGAACCAGAACGTGTGTACTTTTTAAGGAGTCTGTCACCTTTGAGGATGTGGCCGTGGGGCTCTCCCAGGAGTGGGCATTGCTGGACGACGTGCGGAGGGACCTGTGCAGATATGTGTTACTGGACAACTACCAGACCCTGGCCTGCAGAGGTGAGGCTGGCATCGCGCCGTTTCTTGCTGCATATGTGTGCCGGATACTTCCTCAGTGTCTGCCCTGTGGACGAGCATGTGGGTTAGGCTTGTGGGGTTTATTGTCCACTGGAGTCCCGAGATCGACAAAGCCCCATTTATTGCATTGACCTAGTGAGGATGTCTGTGGGCCTCACTGAACTTGGCCCTGGACAAGGGTTAGGGAGCCTCTGCCTCTTAGGCCAGAGAAGAGGGGATTGTGATTTGGGTTACTATTAGGGCATTTTCTGTGCTGTCACAAAACATTGAAGCCTGGCTACTTTGTAAAGAAGAGCGTGTATTTAGCTTACACTTTTGGAGACGGAAAGTTCAAGATCTGGTGGCCCCATTGATTCAGCCTCTGATAGACGGCATCACTGTGGTGGAAGTGCCTGCAGATGCAATCACATGGGGAGACAGGAAGCCAGCGAGATTCAGGGCCAGGCTTGCTCTTTTTATAACCACCCCCTCTTATGGGATGGGAACTAATGGGCATCCTGTGAGAACTATTCACCTTCTCTAAGAGACCCAGCGACCTACCTGCCTTTCACTGGGCTCCAATTTGTGTGGTTCCCTGTCCTCCCAACAGCGCCACAGTGAAGATTGAGTGCAGCACATGAACCCTGCACAGACACCCCCAGACCATGTCCAACCCGCTGCAGGGTGCTGAGGAAAGAGCTCTGCTGAGGGCACTAACAGCTGGGAATGGTCACTCTGTTGCCCATCGTACTTGTCAGCCTCCCCACCTGAAGCCCATGTTGAAGCTGAGCCTGGGTGAATTTATTGCCCTCTGCAAGCTGCCAGCCCTTAGCCATGCGCCTCTCTCTAGGCACAGGGACTCCACTGTGCAGGTCCCACCTGGCCTCCTTGGTGGGGACAGGAGCAGAGCCAAGGCAGTAGAATGAGGGGCTTTCCAGACCCCAGGTGGGGGTCAGTACCAGGCTTCAGAGCTGACCCACCTGGCTAGGGTGAGTGCCCTGGGGAGTGTTAGTCTGAGGGCAATTTTGAAGGCCCTTTATTCCAAGGAGAATTGTGAGAGGTTTTTCAAGTTCATTTAGCTTCTCTTTTGTTTTCACTTTCGAGCCCTTCTCTAATACTTTCCTTAGGTCTCAGAAAAGTATGTCCCAATTTCTCTTTCTTAAAAAATTGAGATAACTTCACATACAATAAAATTTTTTAAAATACATAATTCATTGACTTTTACTGTATTCATAAACTATCTAATTCTAGAACATTTTCATCACCCTAAAAAGAAACTTTGTCTCCATTAGCAATTACCACCCCCCCAGCCCCTGGCAACCATTATCTGCTTTCTATCTCTATGGATGTTCCTATTTTGGACATTTCATATAAATGAAATGATGTAATTCTGTATGTAGCGTTTGTTATCTGTCTTCTTTCATTTAGCATAGATTTAAAGATTCATCCATAATGTAGCAAGAATCAGAACTTTATTCCTTTTTAAGGCAGAATAATATTCCATTGTACAGATATGTTTGTTTTGTTTGTTCATGAATCAGTTGATGGGTACTTTCATTTTTTTTTTTTTTTAAATTTTTTATTGTTGGCTGTTCAAAACATTACATAGTTCTTGATATATCATATTTCACAATTTGATTCAAGTGGGTTATGAGCTCCCATTTTTACCCCATATACAGATTGCAGAATCACATCAGTTGCACATCCATTGATTTACATATTGCCATACTAGTGTCTGTTGTATTCTGCTGCCTTTCCTATCCTCTACTATCCCCCCTCCCCTCCCCTCCCCTCCCCTCTTCTCTCTCTGCCCCCTCTACTGACATTCGTTTGTCCCCCTTGTATTATTTTTCCCCTTCCCCTCACTTCCTCTTGTATGTACTTTTGTATAACTCTGAGGGTCTCCTTCCATTTCCATGCATTTTCCCTTCTCTCTCCCTTTCCCTCCCACCTCTCATCCCTGCTTAATGTTAATCTTCTTCTCATGCTCTTCGACCCTACTCTGTTCTTAGTTACTCTCCTTATATCAAAGAAGACATTTGGCATTTGTTTTTTAGGGATTGGCTAGCTTCACTTAGCATAATCTGCTCTAATGCCATCCATTTCCCTGTAAATTCTATGATTTTGTCATTTTTTAATGCAGAGTAATACTCCATTGTGTATAAATGCCACATTTTTTTTATCCATTCATCCATTGAAGGGCATCTAGGTGGTTCCACAGTCTAGCTATTGTGAATTGTGCTGCTATGAACATCGATGTAGCAGTGTCCCTGTAGCATGCTCTTTTTAGGTCTTTAGGGAATAGACCGAGAAGGGGAATAGCTGGGTCAAATGGTGGCTCCATTCCCAGCTTTCCAAGAAATCTCCATACTGCTTTCCAAATTGGCTGCACCAATTTGCAGTCCCACCAGCAATGTACAAGTGGGTACTTTCATTTTTTGGCTTGGCTTCGTCCATTTAATTTTGCTGTGACAAAATACTTGATGCTGGGTAATATAAAAAGAAAAGAGGTTTATTTGGCTCACAGTCCCAGTGGCAGGGAAGTACAAAGATGATGGAAGTACAAAGAGCTGTATCCCCAGCACTATGTGTCCTGGTGAGGGCCTCCTTAGCCACATCACAACATGGCAAAGTAGGAAGGGAAACTGCTGTGTGCAGAAGGGACAGGCATATAAGGTGGCCTTGCTTTATAACCATCTGCTCTGGAAAGACCCAGTCTACTCCATAAGACCAGCAATAATATATTCATGAGGATGTGCCGCAGTCCAGCTGCAGCCAAATAACCGGGGGGTGGGGTGGGGGGTGGGGGGGTGGGGTGGGGGTGACGAACAACTTGTGTAGATTGATACAGCAGGAGTGGGAGCCATTTATTGTAGGACAGGAGCGGTATTTATACATTCCACACAGCTTATCTAATTAGCATAAACTAGATACATCAGTCAACCAATAAGAAATCTCCACACTTAATGACTCGCTGGTGTTACTTCACAAACCACTCCCTCTGGCATTTTGCCAGGCGCCATCCAGACTTGTTTACAGACTCTAACATTTCTCTGGCAAAATGCCAGGCGCCATCCCTGACTTGTTTAGAGACTCTAACAAGGATGGAGCCTCTATGACCTAAATATCTTCCCCTAGACCCCACCTCTTAAGGTTCTGCCCCCTCAACGTTGCCACACAAGTGACCAGATTGCAAGACCTGAACCCTGGGGACATTCAGAGCGCATTCAAACTATGGCATGACTGTTACGCAAAATGCTGTGGTGAGCGTTTCTGCCCCAGATGTTTGTTGTCTTGGGTCTGCACTCAGGAGTGGAATTGCTGGGTCATCTGGGAGGCCCACTTTGGGTGTTTGGAGGAGCTGTCCCACTGCTCTGCTTTCCCACTGTGGTCATGGTGGTTCTGATGTCTCCCGTTCTTAGCCACCACTTTAAACTTAACACTTCCAAGTGTGTCCTTTTTTCTTCAAAACTGGAGATGAACCCAGGACCTTGTGTGTGCCAGGCAAGTGCTCTGCCACTGAGCTGTGCGCCCAGCACAGTGTGTGTTTTTGACTAGTTGCTTCTTACTTGGTTTTCTAGTAACACCCTTCTTTGGAAATATGTCTCAATCCTCATAGAATCTTCAACTGGGGAATCACCCTTCATTTCCCCCTCAGTCCGTTGACTGCTTAAGTTCCTCACACGGCCCTACTTGTGGATGCCTTTTTCTCTTTCAGTATCCTTCCAAGTTTAGGCTCAACATGAAAATAAAAAAACCCCTACAAATATATGCATATATATTCTCTCTCTCTCTCTCTAGCCCTCTTTATCCAAGGATTCTGCATCTGTAAATTTAACGAACCATAAACACAAAATATTTGGAAAAAATTGCATCTGTACTTTGTACACTCATACCTACAGTATATACAGATGTACGTGCAGACTTGTTTCTTGTCATTACTCTCTAGAGGAGAACAACTATTTATGTAGCATGTACATTCTATTGGGTGTTATTGTTATTATATTTGGTACCAGGGATTGAGCCCAGGGGCACTCAACCACTGAACCACATCCCTAGGCTTTTTTGCATTTTATTTAGAGACAGGGTCTCACTGAATTGCTTACTTAGGGCCTTGCTAAGTTGCTGAGGCTTTGAACTTGTGATTCTTTTGCCTCAGCCTCCTGAACTGCTGGGATTACAGAAGCCCCTTTGTGTGGGGAAGCCCTCAGTTAGTGCACCACCATGCCCGGCCCTATTGGGTATTATAAATTTTCTACACAAATAGTGCACCATTTTGTATAAGGGATTTGATTAACTTTAGATCTTGGTATCTAAGGGTAGACCTGGATACCAACCCTGTATAGATATGGTGTGTGTGTGTGTGTGTGTGTGTGTGTGTGTATGCATAGGTATATATATTTTTCCATTTATATCACCACTTCTTTCTTAAAGTATTTTTTTCCCAATTCATTTTAGACTGGGGGTCTCAATGCAAATCTAAAGAGTCAGCGTCTCTGCAGGGTATTTTGGAAGACATATCACCCAGTGACACACAGATGGTAAGATTCCTGGATTATCTCTAGCTCCCTTTTACAGCAAAGTTGAGGAATCTATGAACTGGAAAAACAGCACCAGAACCAGGGAGACATTTGAGGCAGGGGCATCTCCTCAAAGGGAAGCAGCATCAGAGGGGAGATATGACTTTTGAATTTGGGCAAATCCCTGCTGTCATTCAATGTTCTTTCTAGAAGTTTCTCTCAAGTGCACATTTCCATCAGTGAGTCAGACATTGAGTATATAAGATGTGATTACTTCTCTCTTTTTAAAAAAATTTCATTCTTTTTGGTAATACATGACAGGAGAATGTGTTTTGACATTATACATATTATACATGGTATGATCTACTTCTCAACAATGATCAGGAAAATGTGGCCAGGTGTAGAAGCCCCCTAAAAACCATGAGCAGGAGAGAGCCCTTCGGTGGAGCTTCGGTGGAAGATACTTGGTTGAAAGAACTCAAGCCCTCTGAACCAGGCCTGTCTCGAAAATGCTGAAAATGTGCTCCCTACTGGGAGGATCCCCGGTTCTGTCTGGGGTGCTGACAAACTCTTTGCTGTCACTCACCTCTTGCTGGGAGCAGCCTCCACCTAGAGAGAAGGGACCAGTGAGTTTAACCAGTGCAGGAGGGGGTTCTGGGGGACACGTAACCGGGATTTGATGAGAGACCTGGTGAAGGAGAGGCCACTTTGATTTTAAAGAATGTTGGAAAGTCGGAAGGATCCTTTGGAATCCTTCCTGGAAGGTGCCCCTTTGTGTGGGGAAGCCCTTAGAACTGGCCTACACATTACTGTGCATAGGAAATGCAGAGAGTCCGCTTGTTCCCCACTTGGGCTCTGAGTTCCTCCTTCCTCACACGACAGGCCTCCCCACCCCAAAGCCTGGGTTCCCAGTCTTGGGAGTTGGCAAGAGTTGGGGTTGGGTTGGGGTAGAGTGGAGCCCAGAGCCTGGCCTCGCACCTCAGTAGTGTGCACTGCCTGTAGGATGGAAGGGGCTTCTGCTGCGTCAGAGCCCCAACCCAGCTGGGCCTGCTTGTCCCAGAGACAGTGAGGTACCCAGAATCCCTCAATCTGCACCCCGTCTCTTTGCCATGGGTTAGTGTCTGCATCAGTGTCAGAGATGTCCATCCCCATGGACAGGGTGGGATGGCCTGGGTTGTAGAGAACCATGCTCTCTTCCTTTGATGGGGAACCTTCTGGAGCATGGAGAATCCTCCATCCTGGGCAGCCTGGTGTGGGCTGCCGAGCAGCTGAAACCCTTGCTCTGCCTGGCTGTGACAGGTCCCGGTAGTCGACACCTTTCCCTCCCTGCACCCTCTTTGTCCCTGGTTTCTACTTATTTTGGTTGAGAACATCTTCCAGCGGCTGCCTGGGACAGGTACATAGTTTTTGAAAACTTGAGACCCCAAAATGCCTTATTTGAGCTGCTGGATTGAAGGGACCTCTCTGACTGTGTCATTGCAGTAAGCCCCATTACAGAGGCTTCTGCATGTCATCAGAGTCCCCATTCGTGCTTGTTGCATGAAGAAATGAGTGGACAGGTGCTAGGGAAAAATGGCCTGGGCTCCATCACCACCTTGTCTGTGGTCAGTGGATGGAGCTTGAGAGTGAAGGAGGCAGAGGGAACCCTGACAGCTGGGGGCTCCTCTCTAGGTTCTGTGGATTTTGTCCTTTGAGTACAGAGTTCTAACATCTTCCATGGATCTTTCTGCTTGGCCCAGCCCCACAAGATCCCCAGTATTGAGGGATGGGAGGGGCTTCTGCTGCATCAGAATCCCAGGAAATAGGCGGTTTCAGGATGCTCTGAGAGGGCAGCGGAGGTCCACCCAGGGACACTGAGCAGTGCATCCCTGGAGGTATGCAGCCCATAGGTGGCAGAGTGGCTTTGGAGCTGGGAGTCAAGTCCAGGCGTAACAGCAGGACCGCAGCCTTCTTCACAGCCTGAGGCCACACAACTGCCACTGGCTGATGGTTCTGACCCTTTGACTGGTTCTTCTTGTCTCTTCTGGGCACCACCCAGCCTTCTCCCAGTCATCTGGCAGCTCTGTGGCCATGTCTCCTGGGGAAAAGTGATTCTATCCCTCCTGGGCAGGGATAGAATCCTGGGGGAGGGAAGAGCAGCTGGACCCTGGGCCCTGTCTTGTCTGCTCTAGCCTTTCTTCCTGTGGCCTTTCCTTCCACCCCATCCCCTACCCCTTCCAAGACCTGGTACCTGTAGGAATGTGTGGGTTCCATGGTCTGAGGTTGGGCAAAGTGTCCAGGCTGGTGAAGAGTGCTTGGCTCAGGTCCCTGTGTTTCCTTACTGAAGCAGAGTGAGCAGAGGAGAGGGACACGGTAAGCCACATCCTGAGCACTGCCCCGAGCAAAGGTCTTACTCCCACTTGCCCCTGCCTCACCACCTCTCTTCAGGTCTGTGCTACAAGGGCTTCCCACCTCCCAGCTGCCACCTCATCCTGCCTGCTTTACTGACACAGTATAACCCACCTCCAGTGCTTCACTGCTGTCGCCCTGCCTAGGGCCACCATCAGTTCTCCACTGAAGGACCACTCCCAACAGGCTCCTAGACCCTCCCTTGGACACTGAGACCAGAGGGGTCTCTTAGAAATGCAAGTTAGACGGGACATCTTTCTTGCTCCCCTTGAGGGAGCAACTGCCAGTAAAGAAGAGTTCAAATCCTTTCTCCCACACATTCTGTTTCGCCATAACCAAATACTAGGCACTGGGTACTTTGTTAAAAAAAAAAGTTTTTTATAGCTTACAGTTGAAGTGGCTGAAAGTCCAAAATTGGGTGGTCCCATCTGTTTGGCCTCTGGGGAGGGCCTTGTGGTAGATGGTGTCAAGGGGGAGATGTGTGCAAGTCGGGGAGATCACATGATGAAACAGACAACCAGAGAGAGATTCAGGGGTCACTCTTGCTCTTTTATGATGGTCCATTCTCTTGGGAACTAGCTGGGGACCCGTGAGAACTACATTAATCCCTTCCAGAGGCATCACCCCAGCGACCTAATTACCTTGCACTAAGCCCTACCTCTTAGAGGTCCCAACATCACCACACCGAGGACTGAGCGCCCACCCAGGAAGCTTTGGGGGACAAACTGCATCCAACCACAGCACATGTCAGGTCTTCCTTCCAGGAATAACTGCTAACTGCCCTCAGGTTCCCTGCTCTCTGCCCCTCAACCTGCTGGCTGTTCACTGGAGCATTCGCTAGAGCCCCTTCTGTTCTAGTGTTTTCCTCCCTGCAGGAGGCTGCTTCCCTGAGGGGGGCATTTCTCTCCATATCATTTTGGCATGACATGTTATCACAGTGATTAGCTTTGTATTCAGAGTTAAGTGTATCTTGACAAGGTAAAGGGGTGTCTACCTCTCTTGTCACACATTCCCTGGGGCAGGGCCAACCACACAAGCTCAGTTAGGGTGAATGGGTGTGAGCAGTTCCCCCTGGCTGTGTGACTAATCTCTGACCCTGTCCCTCTGTCCAGGGACTGCAGGTGGCCTTGCAGATTCAGAGGGTGGTGACGCCGGTGCCCACGCTGGGTCTCCCCAACCCATGGGTGGCCAGGGCTTCTGGTGAGTGAGTGATGTATGGTACATGTGGCTGCAGGGCCTCAGTGTTCTGTTTTGTCCAGGAGCTTGTGACCCATTTCACCTCCATTTCTTTTTTTTTTTAAAAAGAGAGAGAGAGAGAGAGAGAGAGAGAGAGAGAGAAATTTTAATATTTATTTTTCAGTTTTTGGCGGACACAACGTCTTTGTTTGTATGTGGTGCTGAGGATCGAACCCGGGCCGCATGCATGCCAGGCGAGCGCGCTACCGCTTGAGCCACATCCCCAGCCCTCCACCTCCATTTCTTGAGTGTAGGCACTGCCATGGTCAGAGGAGAGACCGTCCGTGAAGCTGTCTCATTATCTGAGTGTTCCAGGGGGAGTTACTTGCTAAGATTGTGGGCTGGGACCCTTTGTTCTTTTTTCTGTAATGAGATAGCAGGAGCATAATTATGTGAGGCCAAGCATATATTAATCATGTTGATTTAGCCATTCCACAATGTATGCATGTTTCAAAACATCATTACACCATAAACACATATGATTCCTATTTCTCAGTTAAACAACACAACAACAAGAGCAATAACAATAATAACAAAAACAATTTAAAATAAAAGAGAGGGCCCAGATCTGGGAAGCATAAAATTATTCTCCTTGTAACATAAAAAGTAATATTTCTATATAAGCAATTTATCAAGAGTAGTTTGAACACCATTAATTCTTGACTATACAATTTATGCTAATTTTGAAAATTATGATTGAATTTACTATAAATGATCTATATTTTAATGATCTGAGCTTTTAAAAAAGAGATTAAAAACCGCATCTTCTGAGAAATGAATAAAGTATATTAATTCAAGTAGACAAATAACATCTTAGCATTAATAGAAAGGTATTGGTTTCTTTTTGTCTGCCTACTAGTAAGAAAAATGAAGTTTGTTTCTTACCAATATCATCCCATCTTGTGTTTGGACAGGGTGTAATTCTGTGTTGCTCTTCAGTTTATCTGTGGTTAAGTCTTTTGGGCTGGGCTCTACCTCCTCCCCTCCCTCTCCGGCCCTCCCTCCTCCTCTCCCTTCCTTCATGGTTCTGGGATGGATCTGGGATTTCAAAACACTCTACTACTGAAGGACACCCCAGCCCTCCTTGTTAATTCTTTAAGGGGTATGACTTGGTCCTGTGGTGAGGTGGGAGTCAGGAAATAACTACAAAGAAACATTGACCCTTCACTCCATGGAGCTCACAGCCTAGATGGCTGTAGGGTTTTTTTTAATGAAGATCAGAACACAATGGAAGCACAATGCAAGGACTTCATCTTGGGGTGCAGGGAGGAATTCTGGGAAAAGACAGATGTTCAAACTTAAACCAGGGCTGGAGGTGGTGTGTGCACCTGTGGTTGCAGCTCCTAGGGAAGGGGTTTAGGGGAGGTAGGAGCATTGGTTGATCTAGGAGTTCAAGATCTGAGAAACATAGTGAGGCCCCATCCCCTTCCAGAATAATATAAAATAAAAATAATAAATCATATAAATAGAATCTTAGAATAGGGCTTCTCAACCACAGTCCTCCTAAGTTTGATGCTGACTTTCAGTCATACATTCAGGTTACCTCCACATGATCCCATCATCCTGAGTTTTAACCAATTCCAACAAGAACCTGAGTGTGAAATCTCATCCAAGTATCACTCAAAAGAGTCCACATCTCATCAGGTACATGCTCTAAGTCAGCTATGAATGGGACTCGAGGTGTGGTTCCTCTATCTGTGACTGTGAAACCAGAAAACAGATTGCATGCTCCCAAAATATAGAGATGGGCCAGGCACAAGTGACATTCCTATCTCAAAGGTGGGAAACTGGAGGGAACAAAGAGGTCATAGGTCAAGGCCAAATTCAAAACCCAGCCAGGCAATTCTGGGATTTCCAGGCCTGATGATAGTCGCTCTGGCTTGAGGCCTGTCCTCTGTCCCTCGGTTTGAATGTTTCACTGGAGTTTCCTCAGATAAGTGAGAAGGGTTGAGCTGCTGGCTGGGCGCACAGCCTGGGTAATAGTGAACCTGGTGATGGGATCAACATCCAGAGGATGGCTGCCCCCTGAGCAAAGCTCTGAGGAAGTTGAGAAGAAGGTCTTTAACCTGTGGAAGCCTCCAGCCTGATACAGGAGATCAAGGAGTAAGCTGGGCTGTGGTCACCAGAGCCCTGGAGGGTGGCAGCAAGACAGGGATTGGGTGAGTCCACATGTTAACTGGATCCCCACTGTGTGGAGGCCACCTGTAATTCTTGCTCAGTTAGTCCCTGGTGTGGTGGGAAGTAAACAGGAGGTGAAGAAATGGGTGCAGAAGTGCGATAGCCTATTATGGAGAGTAAAAATTAAAAAGTAGCCACGGGGAAAAGCGGGGTGTTATGGCTCAATTGTGTCCCCAAAAGAAGATCCATTGAAGTCATAACCTCCAGCACCTGGGCATGTGACCTTACTTGTAAACAGGACCTCTGCAGATGTATTTAAGAGAAGATGAGGTCATGAGGGTGGACCCTGATGCAGTGTGACCAGTGTCCTTGTAAGGAGAGAGAGATGCCAGGTGAAGGCACAGGAGAAGGCTATGTGAGGATGAGGTGGACACTGGAGGACGCTTGTGTACGCCGGGGAACACCAAGGTGCACAGCTGCCACCAGAGGAGGAAGAGGCAAACATTTCAGGGGGTGTGGCCCTGCTGCGTCCTGGATTTGGACTTTAGCTTCCACAACTGTGAGAGAAGACATTTTGGTGTATTTTTTAGAAAATATTTTTTTAGTTATTCTTGGCCACAATATCTTTATTTTGTTTATTTTTATGTGGTGCTAAGGATGGAACCCAGTGTGCCTCACATGTGCGAGGCAAGTGCTCTGCCATCGAGCCACTACCCCAGCTTCATTTTGGTAGCTGTAAGCCACTCAACTTGTGGTATTTTGTTACTGTGATGACACTAATCCAGGGATTGGCCATGGCACAGGTTTACACAGTGAGGGGGAAGGTCCCATCAGGAGGGACAAGTGGGGGTGCAGGAGATGAGGGCTGCCCGGAGCTGTCTGCTCATCCTTTGCAGGCCAGAGGGAGGGCTGGTGTCCATGTGAAGGTGGGTAGAAGGGCGCGCCCTCCTCAGCCAGAGTTACAGGGTGGTGGTGGTTTATCATTCCCCTTCCTGGGCTGTCTGGGGGCAGGATTAGCCCCTCAGAGCAGAGGATGGCATAGGGACATGGCCAGGCCCTGACCCTCATGCCTCGGCTATTCTCCCCCAGCTCTGCCTGCTCAGGATCCTGCCTGGCTCCAGGAAGAGGAAGATGCTATGGCTCCTGAGTGGCTGACCACCTGTTCCCAGGTGAGTAAGAAAGTCTTTCTTCAAACGAACACTGTGGTGCTGGAGAAGGACTTGCCCCCTTCATGGACCTCCTGGGCCTTCTGCACCCCACAGCCACCGGGAGCCAGGCCTTTGCCCTGGGTAGGGGGCAGCCCAGGAAACAGTTCCACACCCTCATTTAGACCCTCCACAGGCTGCTGAGCACCAGGAGGGAAAAGCTTCACGGCCTTTGTGGTCTCAGTGGACATAGGGTTTAGTCATTTATAAGATATTTCTCTCTGGCCTGCAACATGCTCAGGTCTGCTGGGCCTTGGAGCTGGGAGAGGGTAAATCTGCAAGGCTTCTTGGCTGGTCATGGAGAGAGGCATCCTTTCATGAAGTAGAGGTCTTTGACAAGGGGCATAACCTCATGCTGCTGTTAGTTATGGAGTGGCGAGTAGATACACAAGAGTTTTAAGTCTCTCTGTGTCTTTCTCTTTCTATCTCTGTCCCTCCCTCCCTCTCTCTTACTCTCTTATTTTTGCTTTTGGGGCTGAGGCTGGAACCCAGGGCCTTGTGCATGCTAAATACATGGTGTGCCCCTAAGCTGCACTCTACCCCCTCAGAGTTCTAATTTTGAGGCCTGAGCTGAGGGGCAGATACTGGAGACCTCAGAGCCCGATCTGAAGACCCTATGGTTGTTGTCTCCCATTCCCAGGCCTACCAGCCCCACCATCCTGTTGAGACTGGGTGGGAGAGAGGGGTTATTCCTGGCTGAGCTAGAATGGGTGTGCGTTTTAGGAACCAGTGACTTTTGCGGATGTGGCGGTCGTGTTCACAGCAGAAGAGTGGGTTTTCCTGGACTCTTCTCAGAGAAGCTTGTACAGAGATGTGATGCTGGAAAACTATAGGAACCTGGCCTTCTTGGGTAAGTCTGGCTTTGTTGCCTCCTCATGCAGCCACCATGGGTTCTAGAAACTGTGTTTGGGAGATCAGGAGGCAAATAGGCCAGGCCATCCTCATGATGCTTCCAGTGGCCTCCCCATGGAAGAGAATGTCTGTTCTCTTCTTGTCTCTCCATGATCAAAAGATTCCAGGATTTTTAAATATCTCTGAGCCAGGCCCTGGGTTGTGTGGACCAGGGAGCTCTGGTGTCCTCTATGTCCCAGTGTGGAGGGTTAAATTTAACTCCTTAGTGGAAGAACTTTGCTGTGTCCCTCAGGATTCAGGCATGAATCTCTAGAACATTAAGGACTTTGGGATGTCAGTCCTGGGGTCACAGCAGGGCATGGTCATCCCTTACTGGGCATCTTCTTTCCCGCAAGCAGGAGATGAACTAGGCAAACCCAGTATGTTGTCCCCCTGGGAGCAAAGAGAGGAGCTGTGGAGCCCTGAGAGAGGAGTCTTCCCAGAGACCTGTTTAGGTGAGTTCAGGCAGACCTGGTGAGCACCAGCTCTAGGAGGCAAAAGGGGCATAAGAGTTGGAAATTGCCAACAGGGGACATTCTCAGTGCCTTGAATGAGAGGGATGTTAGGTTGAGCTCCTTTAGAAAATCAACCTTTCCTCTTTATCTTTAATACTTTCCTCTGATTTGATAGAAATATTTGTCCCTCCTCCTCTTCATATTTACTATTTTTATGCATGTATTTTATCTGTACCTCCCCACTGTACATTCTTGCTAATATTTCCCTTCAATGTCAGTCCCAGTCTTCATGGAATCTTTTCTCAGCAAATTGTCTATGATTCTTATCCCTTGTTCTGTGATTACATAACTATGCACATAGTCAAATGACTTCAGTAATTTTTCTTGGCTCTCTGATACATTCTTCCTCTTTGCAATAGTCTTCCTATGTGTGGGATCAGTATTGAAAAAAAAACATAACTAGACTTGTTATGCTTTTTGGTTATCTTGATCCCAGAGTTTCTTTCCCTGTGCCTTTAATTTCTTTATTACCTAATTCATTTCAGAACCTCAACTTCAACCCCAAGAATCAATTCCTAGCCAAGATATTTTTGTGGGGATTCCATCCGTTGGCACAAAACAGGTAAGATTCACAAGGGATTACTCTTAGACCTCTATAGAAGGACAAGTCTGTGGTTGTTGCTATAGGGTAGAAAAGCAGTGGAAGAGCCCAGAGAGATTGGTGGCAAAGGGCACTTTCCCAGGATGTAGTAGTTTTTTTTTTAGACAGTGAATGTTATGAATTGGGGTAAAACTCTAAATGTATAGTAAAACTTGTGTCTTGGGGCTGGGGTTAGCTCAATGGTAGAACATGGGCTTAGCATTCGAGAGGCCCTGGTTTCCATCTCCAGTACTGTAAAAAACCCTTATGTCTTTCCATCAGTAATCATTTTCACAGATTGAATGCAGGTATTGAGTGTTTAAAACTTAATTTTGCTTAAATAATTCAGAAAACCTCTGATCTAAGAAGCCCCAGGAAAGTAATGAAAAGAGCTCTGGTGGAGAGTGTCCACCCTGTGCCTCTTGAGGGAACTCTGAGTAGATGTAGGACTTTCTCCTGAATTCAGCTTACATGGGGAAGACAATCTCTGAGTGTGATAAAGCTTTGTCTTCACATTTTCCTTAACCGACAGGAGCAACCACAGCCTGGAGAAGATCTCTATGAATATAATGAGCCAGGGAAACCCTTTAATACTATTGAACCAATATTTCAGACAATTTCTGCTGGAGAGGCCCCCCATGAATGTCTAGAGAGCAGGAAGTCCTTCTTCCAGAACACTCACCTAATCACACCTGAAAAAATCCACAGCATGGATAAGACTTATGCATGTGACCAGTGTGAAAAGTCCTTCCGCTACAGCTCTGACCTTCTCAGGCATGAGAAGACTCATACTGCAGAGAAATTCTTCCAGTGCCAAGAATGTGGACAGGCCTTCAAGTATTCCTCGAATCTGCGGAGACACCTGAGAACTCACACTGGAGAGAAGCCCTTTGAATGCAGTCAGTGTGGGAAAACCTTCACCAGGAACTTCAACCTGATTCTGCACCAGAGAAACCACACAGGAGAGAAGCCCTATGCATGCAAGGACTGTGGGAAAGCCTTCAACCAGCCCTCATCTCTCCGGAGCCACGTGAGAACTCACACTGGAGAGAAGCCCTTCGCGTGCAGCCAGTGTGGGAAAGCCTTCAGGGAACATTCGTCATTGAAGACGCACCTGCGGACCCACACCAGAGAAAAACCCTATGAGTGCACTCAGTGTGGGAAGCCCTTCAGGACCAGCACACACCTGAACGTGCACAAGAGAATCCACACGGGGGAAAAGCTGTATGAGTGTGCAACCTGTGGTCAGGTCTTGAGTCGTCTGTCCACCCTTAAGAGTCACATGCGGACTCACACCGGAGAGAAGCCCTACCAGTGCCAGGAGTGTGGACGAGCCTTTAGTGAGCCCTCGTCCCTCAGGAAACATGCAAGGACTCATAGCGGCAAGAAGCCCTATGCGTGCCAGGAGTGTGGGCGAGCCTTCGGCCAGTCTTCACACCTCATTGTGCATGTGAGAACCCACACCTCGGGGAGACCCTACCAATGCAATCAGTGTGAGAAATCCTTCAGGCACAGCTCCTCACTTGCTGTACACAAAAGGACCCACAGTGGCAGAGAGAACATCAGGAAAGGTGGCTTGCCTTTGTCAGCATCTCACTCCTATAGTGGCCCCTCGTCAGTTAGCTGTGGGTTTGTAGAAGTGTAAACATTTGGGCTGCCATTGTTCTTAGAATACTTGTTAGCATGTATCTCATGTTTTCACGTCCAGCAGCTGAAACCAGCCCTGGCCTGTTTATTTCTTCTTACATGAAAAGAATGCTTTCTTACTAACACAAGAAATTGTTTTTGAGGAAAGAATAGGAGTGAATGGGGGTGTGTATGTTTATTTCACCACAAATCCCTAACTGACGCATTTAGCATGTCCGTTTATATAAACACTTCATGGGTGGTTGAAATTAATGTATTAAGTTCTACATTAGCCCACTGGATCAAGCATATTATTTGTGTAAACACACACTTATAAATATTGATTTCTGATTGGTCATTTACTGAGAGAGGTATGTTATACTCCCCACCATGGTGATGGAGAACTGAATAATTCCATCAGTTTTTAAGTGTATGTGTATATTTTGAAGCAATGGAATTAAAGAAATCTTTTCACATTTTGTGCATTTCCTGTGAATCGTTACTTTTATAAACTGGCCATTTTCCCTAGTGATGGCTGTTCAGCCCTGTGCCCCGCGAGAGCCACTCACCCTTAGAGCTTGCTGTTAATAGACTGCAGCCTCTGCCAGAGGGCTGCATCTCTTAGTCTCCTCAGCAATGCCTTGAGGTGGGTCCTGTGTTCACCCCCACCAAACATGGAAGCTGGGGCTCAGCAAGTTGAGGGGAGTACTCGAGGCCACCGGGTAAGGGACAGGGAGTGACTTTCTCATGGTGCTCTGACTAGCCTGGCTTTCATTTGTACTATGTTCTTCTATGTTTTAAAATACTCTTATTTGAGGGATGATTTACACCAAAGTTCATAAATCTTAGTGTGAACCTTGATGAGTTTTATGTGTGTCTACACTGACTTCTACCTCATCAAAAAGTAAATACTTCATCACTGCAGAAGTCTCCCTTGGACACCACCCCAGTCTGTAAGCCCTATCCCCAGAGGTCACCACTGCTCTGACTTCTACCACCATAAGTTTTTACTTCCTGTTCATGGAAATTGAACCATACAGAGCCCTCTTCAGTTGTTTTTTCCACTGTATGTATCCTATATTCACGTGGCACCCCTCAATACCATGGCAGTGAGGTTGATCCACGTTGCGTAGTAACAGTGGCTGGTGCTGCCTTTTAGGGGCTTGAGCTCTTCTGTCAACAGCACTTCTCCTGGGCCTGTGCAGCTGTGAACTGCCTCAGCGTCTCTGCCTCCATATTGTGTCCACCCCCTTTGCTGCCCCGACCACTGATGAGACTGTTTCTGCTCCACTCTGCATGTAGGTGAGTCCATCTTTTGAGGAATGTTTCCCCCAAACTAGCAGCACAAATCTTATTTGTCTGAACCCTCCCTAATCTCTCTCTTCCCCCTTCAAGGCTGATGATACCAAGATAAGCATAACTAAGACATTTTCAGGATTTACAGGAGCTCCATGATCAACAGGTGGCCAGCCATGGGGCTATTGGAGAGATGTCTAGAAGTCTGGTCACCTGTCATTTCCTAACGTAACTCCCCTTCTTTCCCCCTTGCCTGAAGATTGAAAGGAGCTCAAGCATCTGCTGAGTTAAGGCAGTCTTTCAGGCTGCTAGCCCACCATCAGCTCAGTTTTGTTGACTTAGCAAATGAATGATTTTTCCTCACCCCAACAACTGCCCTTGATTCACTGGACCCTTTTCAAGCAGGGGAGTAAACAGACTTGGGTTTGGCGGGAGATGTAAAATTTCCATGTTTTATGTCTTTTTCACTGATTACTGTAGCAGTATGATTAAAGAGTTCCAAAGAAACAACTGTAACATTGTATTTATGCCTAACCTGCCTGTGTAATTCCTAACCTCTTTCTTACCCAATGCTTTGTGATGTTGTGGTGAACAGAGGCATTGATGATCCTTGAGACAGCATTGGATATTTTCTATTGCAAAAGTGATCTATCCCATTGCCTAAAGACTTAAAAAATGTCAAAAGCAAAAATGCAGAAAGAAAAGCTTGTTTTAAAACTTACTATGCAGAGATAAACATGTAGCATATGCAAAAATATGTATTTGCACTTTATTTAGAAAATTTGGAGTATGCAGATATTTAGTGGGCTTTATTTAAGGTAAAAATTCTGATTTAGATTATTTTCAGAATGAAAACATGATTATTAATGTAGCACAGAAGTGGGGTTGGGTTCCTTCTCTCATGAACTTAAAGAATAAAGTCCCTGGACACAAGAATGATAGCAAAGTAATAGGATTTACTAGAGTAATAAGAAGAAAACAGAGCTCCCCAAGAGGAAGGGGTCTCAGAGAGGGACAACAAAGTGTGGCTGTTGTCTAGGGGTTTATCTAGATCTAGAGGTTTAAGGAAGTCAACCCCTGCCCAATCCTGATTGTACTAATGGCACGCAGTGTCCAAGGAGTGTCCATGCAGCCTTTAGTCCAGTCAAAATGTCCATCAGGCCTTTTTCCTGCCTTGGAGGGGCATGGACCAGAGTCACATAGGTCCTGACTTAAAAATAGCCTTTTTGTAAGTTTCTTAGCAAATATCTGCAGGTGCTGTTTGTACTCACTGCCCAGGAAGTGACCCAGGCCCATCTCCCTGTCTTCCCAGTTTCTCTCCTACTCTTTACTTCTTACTTACTAACATGTCTGTCAGGAAATTATCTGGTGATCAAATTTCTTGGCAATTTGGCCACTACTTCATGACTATGAAGATCTTGAGTGGAATATGGCATTCTGGGGAATCCTTCCACATCCTCAGAAGCCCACGTCCCACATAGAGCGTGCCATCTTCCTTGTAGACACCACAATATTTTATTTCCATGAATTTTTTTTTTTTTGTTGTCAAAAAGTTTAAGGCGAGTTCTATTCCTTTTGAATGCTGTGGATGTGAGCATCCTGGGAGGCTGGTTTTCTTGCTTCTAGAATTTTTGCATGAAAGAGGCCTCAAAGGAAGGGAGGGCAGTAGAAGAACGTTTAACAGAGAAACTGAGGAATTGGGCGGCAGATGGCATCTGGATGTTGACTTTGCTCAGCACCATGTCGGGCATGGACAGATTTCAGGTTCTGCAGGAGTTGAATGTCAATCATGTCCTCCAAGAATCCCTTCACATGGCCAACACCATGGATTTCTTGAAACACACAGCACAGAGTCTTTGTCCTGTCCTAATGGTTCAAAAAATGACTTTTCAGATTTTCCATGGGGAAGGAGGATGTAGCTCCGATGATCTTTCTAATTATTCTGGAATGATTATTGAAAAATTACATTAGATTATTGAAAATAACTCAAGTTCCATTTAAAAAAGGAAAGAAAAGATTTGTTAGATAAAGAGATTTTAGCTGTACAAACAAGAATATGAGATGATAGGTAAGTTAATTTCCTTTATTACAGTAACCATTTCATTTTCTGTATATTCATGTGGCACACCCCAAATATATACAACGAGTTTGTAAATTATAGCTGTTAAGCCATTGTGCCTGGTGGATGACCACTGGAGGGACTTAGCAACCATCCTGCTCCCTAATTTTTAAAATTTTCAATTGACAAATAATTGTCCAGGTGAGCCTAAGGTCATTATCAGGGTCTTTAGGAGAGTAAGAGGGGCTAGGAGACTCAGATAGGGGTGGGGACACAATGATAGTAAGAGGGAAGGAGGGGGGTGGGAGGGAGGGAGAGAGAATAATGTAAGGTCAGTGGACAGGCAGGCATGATGGTGGAGTCCAGGAGGGCAGGGGAAGCATGGTCTGTGGACAGGAGGAGAGAAATTCTGCCAATACCAGGGAACATGAGCTCTGGGAGCAGGGAGTGACCCTACCGTGCTGGGTCAGGAGGTGTTGGACACAGCCTTGCTAGACAGAGTGTAGGCCTCGGGTTCAGTTGTCCATTTCCAGATCTTCTTGAGCCATGTCCTGTACTGCTCCCGGACCTGCAGAGGCAACCCACACTGTGGATCAGCTCACAGAGAGGGGTGCGGGTGGGGAGGCATGGGTGGGAGCTGGGCAGGGGTACCTGTTGGCTGAGGAGGCAGTACACCAGGAAGATGAAGACGCCCTGCAGGCTGTTGACAATGGTGAAGAGGTAGGCCATGACGGGGGCCATGGGGCCCACCTGCAGGACACCCAGACACCAGGTGCAGCCCAAGATGAAGAGATGAGCCATTGCTTTAAATGTCAGCATCCTGGGTTGGGGGAGAATGGAGGCTTATAGTGCACCCTCAACAAAATCAGGGTATTCACTTCTCCACCCTTGGATGCACCTACTCTTCCTTGTAATCGATTTCTTGGACTGAGCTCTGATCTTTACTCTCAATGATACCTCACAATAGAAATGCCATTTTGGGTCCAGGATAGCTTTTTGACATGGATCCAGGACAGTGATCAATTCATAAGCTTACTTCAAAAAATTTTATGATGTTCCATGAGGATCCCTAATTTCATTAGCCCAGCATTACTGAGGATGCCCTGTGCTAGGGCTTGGACATAAAAAGAACACAAAGAGAAGCTGGGGGCAGGGGTGCACACCTGTAGCCCCAGCTACTCAGGAGGCTGAAGCAAGAGGATCACTTGAGCTCAGGGATTGGAGGCCAGCCAGGGAAACACTATCTTAGAAAACAAACACAGGACAAAATTTCTGTTTTCATTAATCGTATACTCTGTTCAAGTGTCTAATACAACTAAATAATGATATGCAAAAATTTGAAAGGTTAATCAGAGGAACCCAGAAGAAAGAGCATGAATTTTACACAAGATGCTGAGTGAAGGAACAACCACGCCCCCTGGAGGACTGAACTGGAGTAGCGTTTTTCTACAGGGAGGAACAGTTAGTTACAGGGTGGGAAGGATTCTGAGCTGAGGGTGGGGCAGTAAGTGCAGCCTGAGATGTGGCGACTGTCAGGAGAAGAACAATGCTCTTGGCACTTTTGCTGTAGAAGAGCTGAAAAAGAGTCCAAGCATTGCTGATCAGCCAACGCCAATTCCTACTGAGGCTGAGGGAGTCCCAAGCTGGGATCAGAGATGGAGGCATTTTGGGGCATCAGCAGCAGAGCCCTGAGTCTGAGATGGCAGCCGTAGAAGGGCAGCCACATCTGTTAATTCTGGGCCACCCAGAAGCCCCCAAGGAGGGACACGAGGGGCTGCCCAGGCACATGGCTTTGCTCTTGGGCATCATCCACCTCTGTGGGGTTGTGTCCCCTGCTCCATCTCACCTCGTGTTCTGGAGGGTGGACACATCTCTGTTGATGGAGGACAGCTTGGTCTTCACAATCCAGAGGGTCATCAGGAAGAAAACCAAATTGACCTTCAAGAAACCACAAAGGAAAGACAGCAGCATGAATCTGACATAATTTTCCTGTGTACATATATGACAGCATCACAGTGAATCCCACCATCATGTACATTCATGAGAATGGGCTCCTAACTAGATAAGGTATATTCCATGCTTGTGTAATTGTATCAGAATGGATTCTACCGTCACGTATAACTAAAAACAAACCCCCCAAAAGAAACTGCAGGAGGTTTATAAATATCTTCTTTTCTCTTTTGCAGTTCTGAGGAGGGAACCCAGACCCTAGTGAATGCCAGGCAAGCTCTCTGCCCTTAAGCTATATCCCCATCAGGGAAAGTTTTATTGAATAAAAATTTAAATCTGTTATCTCTGCATTCTAGCCCTCGCAGCATCATTTACACCAAAGTGGCTTTTAGTATTTGACAATAGCGTTAGAATTTGTAGATGCAGAAGTCTTGGAAAACCCAACCCAACCCGTAACAATCCAGGATAGTCCTGTTCTCATCACCATCCTTATAATCCTGCTCTTCTAGTGACCCTCATGTGGACAGCAAGGAACTCTGATGACATCACTCACACAAGAGATGGCACAGGCAGGTCCAAGGAAGCCCCACACAAACCCCTGTTCTGGATTGAGCCAGCACCTGAGCAAGAGAGAGAACAACATCACTTTGCTGTGTTCATGTAGGACTCCACGACCAGAGTCACTCCACACCACACACAACCACAAGGACAGGAAGCCAGACCCCTGTATGTGTGATATGTCACAGTACACTCTACTGCTTAAGCTCTGAAATACTCAAAATGCTACTTTGGTTCAAGTGATGGCTGTGGACATGCTCGAGAGGAGAAGGACAAGTGGGGTCCGCATTTACCGAGCAGGGGTGCCATACAGGTGAGGTCTGGCTGCTGCAGACACGGCCACGATGGCGGCTGGGACTCCGTAGCCCACAGGGAACATGAGCCTCCTCATGAGCCTGTTTCTGCTGGAGGAACTGAGCACAGTCAGGTTCCGCGCAGTGAGGAAGAGGAACAGCCCCTCCAGCAGCATCCAGGTGAAGGAGGCCAGGTAGAGGTAGTGTAGGGCGCCGGCGGTGACCGCGCACAGCACCTGGGGAGGAGAGAGACCCTGGGGCAGCGTCAGGGTCTGGGCTTGGCCCAGGATGCCCCCTGCGCCCTGTGGTGGGGGATTTTGCTGTGCACCAGGCGCTGCACTGTGGTGCTTCAGCCACGGACTGCGTGTGTGCTCCCATAGATCACAGCAGAGCTGGAGAGGTCCTGCTGCCCAGTGATGTCACAGCCTCCCAGTGCTGCCCTTTGATGTCACAGCCTCCCAGTGCTGCCCTGTGGGGTTCTTCATGCAGTAGTGTTGATGTCACAGCCTCCCAATGGTGCCCTGAGGTGTTCCTCATGCACTAGTGGTGACGTCACAGCCTCCCAGCTCTGCCCTGCAGCATTCCTCATGCAGTAGTGGTGACTTCACAGCCTCCCAGTGCTGCCCTGCAGCGTTCCTCATGCAGTAGTGGGGATGCTCTTGTGCACAAACCCGCTGTGCTGCTGGTTACCGAACAGCAGGGCCACACAAGGTTGGGCAGGACCTAATACTTACTAATGCCAACCAATGGTCATGTGGCGGCTTATGCATTTACTACACTATGCTTTTCACATTATTTTAGAAGTGACTGTAGTTCACAGGGTTTAGTATCTTGTCTCCAAATGGTGCTGATCCTGGGAACAGCTGAGGACGCACATTGAATGACAGTATCAGTAGCTGGATATTCACCCATCCCTGGGCTCTTAAGAGAATGAAGCTCATTAAGTAATTCCTTGAATCAAAGCAGAGAAGATAATCAACCCAGAAGGTGGGAAGACCTACAAGCAGCAGGAAAGAGCAAGGGAGCAAACCACACAGCCCACAGCACTCCAACAACTGACTCTGTAGGCACAACAGCAGAGGAAATGTTGGAGAAGAATTTAGAAAGCTCCTAGTTAAAATGTTGGAAGAGCTAAAAAAGATGTAAGGAATGAACCTGGAGAAGGTACAGGAAGTGGAGGATCATTTCAATCAAGCCAGATTCTAAAAATGAACGAAATAGGAATTTTGAAAATGAAGGACTTGATAAACCAAATTAAAAATTCAGTAGAACCTCCTGTTTCTCCTCGTAAAAAATGTCTGCTGTAAAACGGGGTGCCCTGTGACCCCAGCCAGTCACCTCCATCTTGTCTCCTGATTGAATCAGGAGGCCACGTCCCGTGATTGACGGATGCCATCTAGTATTTGCGTCAGGGTTCACCCTACCTGGTCCCCTAATGAAGGGATTTCCCCAGGATGCAAGCCCTGTTGCTAAGCAACAAGAGATGTAGGCGATGGAGTTGTAAAGAGGGTTTGTTTTCTCATTGAATCCGTCAACGTGAAATGGGCATCGACCTCCTCTGGATTTCCCCGGGTCCAGGCTGTTTGATTAGGAGCCGAGGCAGCCTGGCTCCTGAGTTCAGCACCCCTGGGCTGCGGGGCGGGGACACCTGGATACCTTGGGCTGGGTTCTGTCGATGGCCGTGAGGAAGAGCAGGTGGGCCAGCAGGAGGCAGAGCGAGAGCTGCAGGTGCAGGGAGGTGCTGGTGTTCTGGATGGCTCTGCACAGGAGGAAGGTGAGGGCCGCCAGGACCAGGCACAGCAGCGACACGCCCAGCCCCACGCAGGTGATGAAGTCCAGCACAGGGTTGTCGTCCTGGGGCAGAGGGAGGAGCCTTCACAGCCAAGTGCCCTGCTGTGGGGCAGGGACCTTCTGCTATCTGAGTCATTTGGTGCAGCAGATTCAGGAATGGAGGGACTGGGTCCATGTGTGAAGCTGATAGGGGAAGGGCTCCAGGTTCAGAAGGTTGGACTGTTAGGTTTTCTGAAGGGAGCAGGTAAACAGAAGTTGTTTGTGTGGATTTTGTTTTTGCAACATATCTGTAAATTTGAAATTGTTTCCCAAGAAAATGTTTATATACACACACACACACACACACACACATACAAACATACAAAACAGATGTTCGGTTGATATGCCTGAATCAGCCATAGGAGAGTGCAGCCCCTGGTCCCTCATCCCTTGTCCTGACACCCCTTGTCCTCTGTGACCTCCTTATAACCAGATCTTTCTTTTTGCAAACCACTAACCATGACCACTGTAGTCTTACAGATCCTGGTAGTGAACAGAATTCTAATTTATCTTTACATCTCCACTCCTTGCTGTGACACAAACCTTTTTCTAGTTATTCAGTCCTGTGATAAGCTAGGTGTTGGGATTTTGCAGGTGGAATTTAGATTGTTGACTTTTAGATTAGGGAGTTTATTCTCCTGGGTCTGGTGTAATCAGGTGATTACTTTAAAGATCTGGACTCTTCCTGTGAAAACACATTCAAAACTTGAGAGGGATTCCACAAGAGGGACATTTTCATGCTGGTTTTTAGATGGGAACACTGGTTGTTTGTGAGAAGGCCAACAAGAGAGCCATATGAGAAGAAATTTGGGTGGCTCTTAGGAACTGAGTGTGGTCCCCCCTGACAGCTGCTAAGAGAAGGGAACTGAACTCTGCCTGCAACCAGGGAGCTGGAGGAGGGCTGCAAGACCCAGGAGAGACTGCGGCCCTGGCTGATGTGGTCTTGTCAGTCTTTTAGAATCTGTACAAGGAACGCATCCCCCTGTGCTGGGTTGCTGACCCACAGAAACCGCAAGGGAACAAATTTGTTTTACTTCAGCAGCGACATTTGCATAAGTGTGTTTTGCAGCAATTGATGCTGAAGGCAGCCTCTCACCTGCACATGGTAGTGGGCCATGAGGACGGCAAAGCTGCTGAGGTGGGTACAGTGGCAGGTGGTGCTGCCACCTCCAGTGCTCACTGTCCTGCACCCTGCAGTGGCCCAGTGACCACATCCATTCTGGCTGTGGTCCCAGAAGACACAGAGCAGCTCATGCCTTGGTGCAGGTGTCACCAGCTGTAGTAACAGGACAGGGGTGTGAGCTGGTCTTCCTGCGCTCAGAGATGCTGACCCAGGAAGGGCTGCCTTTCCTGTGTGGGGTGCACCTGTGGGGAGTCCTGCTGAACCTCAAGGTTAAGAAGACAACAAGGGTGTGCCTGGGCCTGGGGCTCTTCCCACACCATGGACCCTCCCCCCCACTCACAGGATGGGAGAAGGTGAAGGTAACTGGCGAGCTGAGGTTCTGGGTGTCCTTTTTGCTCAAAAAGGCTGAGATGACATCCGAGAGCAGAACAGGTGAGATTCTCAGCAGCAAATCCTCGTGTGTCCCATGGGGAGCCACCTGCTTCTCAGGCTCCAGGACCAGGGGAGCCTCGGCCAGCAGCTTGTCCATCCCTGGGGTGGAGACCAAGCCCACCACAGAAGGGCCTGCAGGACGAGGCCACGGGTGAGTCTCAGGGTCTCCTCCAGAGCCTCCTCCTTAGATGGCCTCTCCTCCTTTTGAATTGTTGTATTATAATGATACATAATAGTGGGACTTGCTGCTCCACATTCACACGTGCACACAACAGAATGTGGCCTCATCACTCCCCAGAACCTCCCCTTTGGACGCTCTTCTAGCGACCTCTTCCCACCCACATCACCCTTTAGTCTTTAATTCTGTATTTTTTCACATCCTTGGGCATCTTTTCCCACCCTGAGGCTTCTTCCAAACAGTATGGTACTGGTGTAAGGTGGACATTCCACTTTCTCCCCATCTCAGATGTTACCTGTGTAACAAGATTCCTGTGCCAGATTCCAGTTCAGCTGCATCTTTGCCTGATTCAGACTCAAGGTGACATTGCCATCTCCTTGCTTCTGCACCTCTAGGGACAGTTCTATGAATCACAGGAAAAAGAAGAGTTATGTTAGGATATATATATGTGTTTATGTGGATATTGTATATGTACAAGTGTATATCACATATATCAAGGACCTATGTGTAACTTCCAATTCACTATAACTACACACGTATATGTGTGTTTATAGACACATATGTGTACACATACATATATGTATATAATCCTTTGTAATTTCAGATTTTATATGTATGTGTATATATGTGTTGTGTATACATATGTGTGCATACATACATGTATATGAAATCTGAATTTATGAAGAATTGTAACAGTAGGAGCAATTGTGCACCAACATATTAGATAACTGAGATGAAATGGACACATTCTGAGGGACAGAAGCTACAAAAACTGACTCAAGTAGAAGTGGAAAATTTGAAGAGACCTATAATGGGTAAAGAGATTGAATCAATAATGAAAAACCTTCTAAATGAACATGTTAGATCAGATATTCAGCAATTTAATATGGTTAAATTTCACTAACCATATAGAGAAGAACGAACAAGAATTCTTTCTAAACTCTTTCAAACAAAAGAAGAAGGGACAGCATGTAGTAAGTCCTGGAGGCCAATATTACTCTGATGTCAAAACCAGATAAAGACATCCCGAGAAAAGGAAAGAGACCTATATCTCTTATGAACATAGACACAACAATCTCTAACAAATATTAGAAATAAATTTAACTAAGAGACTCAGGACTTGTACATAGAGAACTACAGAAGGTTTTGAATGGCATTAAAGACCCCAAATGAAGGGAAGGACACCTTGTGTTCATGAATGGGAAAACTTTATATTGGTAAGATGGTGACATGCCCCAAAGAGATCTACAGGGTCAGTGTCATCCCTATCCATGTCCCAACAGCCATTAATATTATAATTTGCTTAAATAGAAAAACTAACCTTAAAACTAACACAGCATTGCAAGAGATCCAATAATTAAAGCATGGCTGAAAAGAGCAACAAAGGTGGAGGACTCACACTTCCTGATTTCAGAACTGACTGCAAATGAGCAGAGCCCAAAGCAGAGTGGTACTGGCATGAAGACAGAGGGGAAGGTGAGCCCAGAAATAAACCTTCACCTCTGCAGTCAATTGGTTTTCAGCCAGGGTCCAAGACCATTCAATGGGCATAAGACCAGTCTCTTCAATGATTGATGAGGGATTACTGGATATCCAAGGAAAAAGAAGGAAGTGGGACCCCTACCTCACACCACACACACAGATTAACTCAAAATAGAACAAAGGCCTCAATCTAAGAACTGAAGCCCATAGGACGAAATATAGTGGTATCATTCTGACCTTGGATTTGGCAATGGATTGTTAGATATGACACTGAATGTACAAGCCTGATGGAGAAAGTAGATAAAGTAGACGTCCTCAAAATTCAAAACATCTCACATTAAAGGAAATGATTATCACAGATGTGAAAAGGTAATCCATAGGATGGAGAAAGCATTTCCAAGTTGCACATCTCATAATGGTCTCTTGTCAAAATAGACGAAAAGCTCTTACAAATCAACAACCAAAGGACCAACCCAATCACAAATGCACAAAGGCTCTGAACATACATTTCTCCAAAAAGATACACAGATCGCCCAGAGGCACATGAAAAGATGCTAACCATCACCCGTCAATAGGGAGATGCAACTCAAACCGGCAACAAGATATCGCCTCATGTACAATAAAATGGCTGTGATAAAACCAAATGAATCGGAAGTAACATGTTTAGCTGAGGCCATGGAGAGGCCACTCTTGCAACCCTCTGGTGGTGCTATGAAATAGTGTGGCCACTCTGCAAACAGTCTGGTGGTTCCCCGAAAACTACACATGGAATTACCATGTTACCTACCAAGTCCAGTCCTTACAGACAAACCAAAGCACTGAGAACAGTTATTCAAGCAAACACTTATACATCAATATTCTTAGTATTAGTAAGTCACAATAGCTAAGAGGTTCATCAGTGGCTGAGTGGGTGAGCTAACACCCATAGGATGGAATCATATTCAGCCATGAATAGGGATGGAGTGATGCTATGCCATGCTCAACAGGATTATTCTAGGAGAAAGAAGCTAGAGGGACAGGTCACCCTTTGTATGATTGCTTTTTACCAAATGGTAGAATAGGCAGCTCCATTAAGACAGCAAGCAGGTGAGTGGATACCAGGGTTGGGGGAGTGCAGGAATGAGGGATGAAAGCTGAGGAGGCACTGTGTTTAATTTTGGAGAAAACTGTCTTAAAAATGGAGGTGATGGCTGCATCAGTTTGTGAATGTTCTTGATTCCACTGAAATGTCAAACTGGTGGATTTTAAATGGTGAACTTAATTGGTGAAATTAAGTGAATTTTACCACAATAAGACAATTAACACCTAAATATCAAGCAAGATTAATTTATAGTACTCCATATTAGATTTGGAAGCTGTTTCTATTTTGCTATGTAAAATACTTATTATTTTTATTATTTTAGTTGTAGATGGACACAATACCTTTGCTTTATTCAATTATTTGTATGTAGTGCTGAGGATCGAACCCTGTGCCTCTAGGCAAGTGCTCTACCACTGAGCTACAACCCCAGCCCCCCTAGAATTCCTTATTGTCATTTTCTGCTGATAATTTTTACTATACTGTAAGTGTGTACTATTTGTGGTTTTCTGCCTTTTTCACTGTTGTGATTATTTATGTGAGTCACTGAGGTACAGTGTGGCCACTCAGCTCTAGGGGGATCAGAAGAGGATGACGAAAGGAACAGGGGCTGGTACAGCCCCAGAGACTTACGTGTGCCTGCAGAATAATTGAAGGTTGCTGTCCCCTCAGGCAGAGCCCTGCTCAGGTGTGTCAGGGCACTCTCCAGGCCTTTCAGCAGGTGAGTGGCCACGCAGTGCTTCTGTGTGGAGGTCAGGGTCTCCACATCCCCAGGGGTCTCCAGCAGCTCATCCACCTCCTTCATGATCCCCTGGAGGGATGGGGGCACAGAGCACGTGGACATGGGCCAGAAGGACCACACAAAGAGCTTGACCACTCAGCCCTAGAGAGCAGACCCCAGACACTGTCCAGTTGGGGATAGAGAGAGCATGGTTTGGGACTCCCTGTGTGGTCCTTGCTCCTCAGAGGTCAGCCCTGATTTGTGACTGTCAAGGATCACAAAACCCAAAGACCAGGATGAGAGCAAGAGGACAGACAGTGCACGTGGGTGTCCAACAGTGTGTGGGCTCCCAGTGTCCTCTTCCACCTGCCCTGGGAGAGTGGCCAGCTCAGACCAGGACTCCAATGTGCTTGGGCCTGTCTTCTCCCCCAGACCAAAGCTGCCCACCTCCCTCTATGGGAAGTCTCCCCCTGCTTCCCCTGGATCCTGCCCTTACCTGGATGGTGTCCTTGGCCTGATCTGGCTTGACATCCTTGTGCAGATTGTTGACTTTGTCAGTGAAGCGGGAGAGACTCTGGGGAGGGGAGATGAGGGGTCACAGGTTGGTAGGAAGCTCAGGGCCAAGGGGTGGACAGGGTGCTGCCCCAGGGATCCCCATCTCCCTGTCCTGGCTGGGGTGCTCACCTGGCTGTGGACTCCAGGGGGCAGAGGCCAAGTGAAGAAGGGCATGACTGCAGGGACAGGACAGTGGTTCATTAGGAGGAGTGCAAGTGTGTGTGCGTGGGTGTGTATGAGCATGTGCACGTGTGTGTGCATGTGTGTGTGGGCTGGGGGAGGTTCTGGGGTCAGGGCAGGCAGTGAACCTTTGCAGATGGTGCTGTTCCGGCCATTGACGCTCCCAGGAATCAGCTCCCAGCCTGGGCGGCAGTGGCACTGGTACGACCCCAGGGTGTTGGTGCAGATGGTGGACTGATGGCACTGATGCTGCCCGGAGCTGCACTCGTCCACATCTGGGGACACAGACAGAGGCATTTGTCCCTGCCCCAGCCAGGACCAGTACTCTCTGCCGTCAGAGCTCCATCCCCTTCTTCCCTCCATTCCCGCTTCTTCCTGCCTGGGCTACGGTGCTGCTACCTGGCAACCCACACCCTTGCGAGGTGGACGCCAGGTCAAGGGATGTGCAAGGCCTGGTGTGTCCCAGGTCTGCCCTGTGCAGGTGCAAGTGGTGAGGCTGCATAAACTCGTCACCCAGTTATTCACTAGCTGTAGCCGGAGGCCCTGGGAGCCTCCCGTCAGACCCCAGCTCCTTCCCCAGGAACCATCTGTCCACGTCCAGCCCCTGGAGCATTAGCTGGTGCAGACGCCGCAGCACTGGACGTGGTCCGTTTGCCTGGGAGGGCTGCGATCCTGGCTGGACTGTGGGCCTCTGAGTGTGGCCTCTGAGCCCACACCTTCACGCACACGGTGCTGTTGGGGCCATTGGGGGATCCGGGAACTGGCTTCCAGCCAGGTTGGCAGCGTCACTTGTAGCTGCCCACTTGGTTGAGGCAGTGGGCGGATTTGTGGCACGGGTTTTGTCCAGAGGCACATTCATTCACATCTAGGACAAAGCAGAGGGCCTGCCCCTGACCAGCTCCCATACCCATACTCACTGCACGCACTTCTCCATCTTTTTATTGTCTCAAACCAAGGACCTCAACATGTGCCTCACTTGGTGACCTTCAGCTTCACTTTCAGAGCAACCTATGGTGGCCTTCTTGCATGAAGAGCACAGGAAACTTGTCTCCAGTTTATAGAAGGTAGAGACAGGAGGGAAACTGAGCCAGGGGTGGAACTTCCTGACCAAGGACTCTGGTCGCCCTCTTTCTGGCCATGGTGGAGGTGCCTTGTCAGAACTGAAAGTGACTCTCTTCTACTCTCAGATGAAGACCAGGAAGGGGCTGAGGCCCAGATGGCCCTGTGGCCTCCCTTACGCTGAGCCTGAGCCCCTTGACCTGTGGGAACCTGCAGGTCTTCTCCCTCCTTGGGCGCAGGACCTGCCTCTGCTGCACCCCTGGATCCTGTCCACCCTCAGGGGTCCTCCTGGGGCCTCTACCTGTGCACAGCTTCGGGTCCTCTGGGTTGAGCTCAAAGCCAGGCAGACACTGGCACGTGTAGCTGCCCTGAGTGTTGGTGCAGGTGCTGCGGCCCTTGCAGATTCTGGGGTTCTGCTTACATTCGTCCACGTCTGCAAGAGGAAGAAGAGGGGCAGGATGCGGGCAGCCGGCAGCTTCAGGTGGTTTGTTGGGTTGGATGCGAGTGTTGTGATCAGAGGGTTTGGCTCTGTCAGCCCAGGCTGGGAGTCGGCCAGGTTCCTGGCATGGAGGCATGGGGTGGACCCACTGTGTCCCCAGGTTCCTTTCCTAACCCCCAAGGAGGCTCTCCATGGGTAGCATGGTCTCCAGTCCCAGTGCCCTGTGCCTCCCTGGGAAGCTCCCAGCTGGGCCAGGGTGTCATGGCCACATGTGTCCTGGCTTGAGGATTTGGAGCTGAGGCCAGATGGGTCCTCCTGGGACCCGAGTGCAGGGGAAGTGCTGAGCTCCCGAGTGGGGCCTGTCTTGGCTTCCAGGGTGGCCTTTGGCTTGATTTTGCTAGAGTGACTGCATGATGGCTGAGTTGTCCCTGGGTCCCAGTGACCTAGCAGGACAGGTTCTCTCATCCCACTAGCTCTGAGAGCCCAGCTCCAAGGAGAGGAACTGAGATATGCTCCTGAGCCAGGCCCACTGGGACAAGACTTAATGGCAGGGACAGGAGTGAGGACCATGCCAGAGAGCACAGGGTTGACATCCAGCCAGGCATCCTGGGGACTGTGCAGGTGTCTTCCTGACCCCGTGAAGCATCCTTGTCCTATGGAGGCCAAATGTGGATGAAGACAGCAGCAGAGAGTGGAGCCTTGGGGACGGGGTAGTGGTGGTGGTGGCAGGCATTTCTGTCATCTGTCCTTCACCTCCACCGGGACACAGACCTGTGGCCTGCTGCGTGGGACCCAGCATCGTCTCTGTCCCCAGTGGTCAGGCCCTTGGGATCTGGGTTAACCTCCTCTGGAGAGGGTTGGGGCTGGATAGTGGTTCCATGTCACCCTCTCTTACTGTGTGTTCCAGACTGGAGCATCTTCCTCCACTCGACTGGATGTCACCCTGCCCAACCCTGTCCTGACACACCATCCCCCAGTACCTCAAGTGGACGAAAGTCAGGATGGAGAGCAGAGCAGAGCAATGAATGAGGCTGAGAGGTGGAGAAGGGCGTGGCTGGTGGGGGTGTGGCTAAGGAGGGGGTGGTTGAGAAAAGCATGGAGCACAGCAGGCGTCCTTTCCAGGCCGGATTGCTGGATGGGGACTGAGGCCTAACCTCAACTCTGAATTTCCTCCTGAATTTCCCGACTGGGTCCTTGGGTCCATCATGGCTGGGGGTCCCGAGAGGGTTCCAGGTGTGGCTGAGCCCCTGTGGTCCCTGGACGGGGCAGGGTTCATCCTGGCAGCCACTAGCAGTGGGAAGAGGACAGAGTGGCATGGAACGAGGTTGCCACAGGCTCCTGGGATATCTTGATCTCTCTCCCTTGTGGTTCATGAGAAACAGATGCCAGATGGGCAGCAGGGTGTACTGAAGGTCCAGAAGTGGCCCTCTGCGGAGGGTTCTGAATTTTGGGGAGTGAACAGATATGGGCAGTCAAGAGTCTTGCATGGCCCTCAGATGCCTGGAGAAGGTGGGGCAAGGAGCCCAGGGAGTGGGTACCAGGTCTGCCCATCACTGACTCCATGGACTGTGAGGCCAGTGGTCATATCTTCAGGTGCAGTGAAGATCACAGTGTTGAAGGGTGAGGAGGGAACGAGTAGGGCCCAGCTGAGCCCCTCACTGAGCTGAGGCTTCACCTCCAGGGTCTTCCAAGCCAGAAGTCTGCTCTTTCCCAGTGGGGCCCGTGGGGGATGGGGGTGTCTTCCACCTCACCCCTGCTCACCCCTGCCTCTGCCCATCCACCTGAATGAGCTCTGCCCCCTCTCCCTCACAAGCCCTGGCTTCTTTCTAATCTAGCAACACAGCGTGGGGCACAGAGGGTGTGCTAATAATGATAGCCAGCATCTGAGGCTGAGGGCTTGCACTTAGGAGGATCCTGACCCTTAGGTGCAGTTGTCCAGGCTGCTCACTGCGTCAGGGTGCCCAAGCACATGCTAAGCAGGGTCTGAAAACCAACCCACTTTGCAGTCATCAGATGTGGCTGTGTCCACCTGGAGAGGAGGAGCTTTTTGAAAATTCATAAAAAAGCTTTTTTCCTTTGGTCAAGGCATGTGCATATGACAGAATGTGCACCCACAGGGACCCTGTCTGGTCAGAGTCCCCTTGATCCTTAGTTTAGTCAGGCTGTCTTACAGGCACCTGTAATTTTCATAATCCTCCTGGAAGACACAGGAGGTAGGCACTGTTATGATCACCTTCAGGATACAGATGGGTAGACCAAGTTCAAAGAGAGGTAGTGATTTGACTAATAACATGTAGGTAACAGGTGGCACAGGCAGGTTTTGGACCCAGGCAGCCAGTCTCAGAGCTGGACCCTGGCATTCATGCTACCCTGCTTCTGTGCTGGGCGACAGGTACATGCACACCTGCCTTAGACCAGGACACCAGTCCTGTAACCAGGGTTCTGCCATCTAGATGTCACAGGAAAGGGTCTGGCCACCTCAACCCTGATGATGGGGAGGTGGGGGAAGGGCCTACCTTGCAGGTGTTCTCCTCTCATTAATAAAGGATTCTTGGCTCCAGAAATGGGCACACAGCCTTGGCTGCATGTGCAGCAATTGTGCCCTGTATGACCTGGCCGTCTGCAGATTTTCCACAGGGCACTCTCATGGCCCTCATTTGTTGATGTCTGCAACATGACAGGTCAGAGGCTCACCTCCCAAAGTTGTGCTTTCTCTCAGGGAAGAGACCCAGGTGCTCAGCCTGACCCTGCTGTGAGATGTGGTCAGAAATAAGACCCAGGTGGACCTCCTGAGGCTGCGCTGCTCTGGAAGTCCCAGGGCCACTCTGCTCTCTGGAGCAGAGCCCAAGGACATGTGGGTTCAGATTCTGTGCCACAGTGGGGCCTGGCAAGGGATCTACATCTCCTCTCCAGCCTGCAGTGGCAGAGGGAGGCGCAGCCATTCCCTGGACCCTCCCCCGTGGGAATCATTGCACCACTGGGGTCCTACAGGTGGTCTACACTCAGGGAGAAGGTGGCAGTGATGGCCACCCTTGATGCCTAAGCAGTGGAGGGTGGGGGATCATGGTCCAGGGCTTCCCAGAGTGACACTCATCATTAACACCTGAGGATAAATCCAGGTGCTCAGAAACAGAGCAAAGCTGGGCACACCCCATGACTTGACCTCAGAATCTCCTGTGAAGCTGTAGTGACAACACAGTGTGGTTCTGTATGGGGACACACACAGCCACGGAACAGAACAGACAGCCCAGAAAAACCCACGTATTTACAGCTGATTTTTGATGAAGGTGCCAAGAGTGCACAATGGGAAGGACCCTTCAGTAGAAGGTCTGGGACCCTGGACATGCCAACCAGGAGGACATCAGACCCTCCCCTCACACCACATAAAAATCACCTCAGATTAAATAGTGAAGGTCAGATTGGAGCTGCCCAGCTGCTTAGCGGAGAGCACAGGGGAGAGCTGCGTGACGGTGGCCTGTCAGTGATGGTTTGGATGGGACCCAAGGCACAGGCAGCAAAATACAAACGGACCAAGGGGATCGTAGCCAACTAACAGCTTTTGAAAAGCAAAGGAAACAGTGGACAGAGTGAGGGACAACTCAGGGAACGGGAGGCACACTCACAAGCCACACATCTTATTAGGTGTCAATATGCAAAGTATCATGAGGAGCTTGATCAAGCAACTCAGCAGTAAGAAACCCGCTCACCCCATCCGCAAATGGGCAAGAGACCTGAACAGACACTTCTCAAAGGGCGACAGGCAAAGGGCCCAGAGACCCAGGAGAAAACCCTTGCCATCGCCAATTCTCAGGGCACTAGAAATGGACTGTAGTGAAATATCACCTCACACCTGCTGGGTGGCTGTTGGGGAAGCCAGATGGGCACATGGGTGGCCAGCGGGCAGAGAAAAGGACGCTGTGCACACCAGAGTTGAGAACGTAAGTGAGCCCCGCTGTGACGGAAGGCAGTGGGGATGGTCTTCAGATATTAAAAATAGAACTACCTCTGAGCCACATCCCCTCTGTTTATTTTTTATTTCCTCAGTGGGGAAAGTGTTTACTTAGAGCTTTGGTAAGTTGTTGAGGCTGGCCTCAAGCTTGTGATCCTCCCGCCTCAGCCTCTAGAGCTGCTGGATCGCAGGTGTGCATCACTAGGTATGGCTAATGTTCTGTATTCTTGACAATTTACTAAGGGATTTGATTTGAAGTGTTCTTACCACAAAAATCAGCGCGTGAGGCATTGCATATGCTAATCAGCTCTATTTAGCCATCCCAGTGTGCACACATGTTTCAAAACATCATTCTACTTATGATGAATATGTACAGTATTTTTATTTGTCAGTTAAAGAAATTAAAAAAAACAGGAAAACACTCCTAGAGAGGGATGACTGAGATAGTTGTGTAACAGGAATGGCCTCAGTGCCACCGAACTAGTGTACTGGAACGTGGTTAAAATGATGAGTTTTATGGATGCAGATTTCATTACAATTTAAAAACCTTGCCACTGAGCAGCAACAAGAAGAACAAAAACGAGGTGCTCAAGCAGGTGAGGTGGCACATGCTGTAATCCCAGTGACT